TGTGTTTGTCATTTTGGTTAATTACTGGAAGATGGTGGTTCCGGCCAAAAGGAAGGGCCCATAGCTCATTTTTTAAATTACTCAGTCAGAATGCTAAATAAGATCTTTGGGGACTAGTATTTCCTTACTCTGAACTCTGGAACATATTACCATTTTCTTGGGAGTTAGTCCCAAGCAATTTCCTGTAGACCTAGATTGACATACAGATTTACTCATCACCACCCTCTGCAAGTAATCCCATTTTAAAGCTATCACAAGAATAACGGCTATGATAACATGAAAACCATGAGCCTTTCCACTACATTGCTCATCTGCTTCAGTCTTCCACAGCCCAGCCCCACTTGACATGAATATTGTTAAAAAGTGCATATATCTTCATGAAAAGAGACATATCAAAGATGAAATGCCTGCCAAATCAGCATTAGTAATAGCAGGGGGCAATGTATGAGCCTCTTGGAATAATTCTGTCTCCATGTGATGTTATTAAGAAGAAAATCTACTTTGCTTAATTAGAGTAGTTTTGATTAAAAACTAAATCTCAAAATGTGGAGTGTATTCTATTACATTATTCCACGGAGAAATAATTCAACTTTTAAAAAATGATTTTGGACTGCTTGGCATTATATGAAAACAGTCTTTACAACCAGGGAACTAATGTGTGTGTGTGTGTGTGTGTGTGTGTGTGTGTTTTCCTCAAGAGAAGTCCAACAGGAGCAGATGCAGCGACTGGAACACCATCTGAAATCACTGCTGCTGTGTGTTGACGGCCCCATGCTCACGCTGACACTGCAACTGCTTCTTTGTTGTTAGTAATTGCAGCAGTTACAGGTGTACCATCAGGACATTACACAGAGATGTCTGCCTTCCAGAAACTTCTGAAATAGTCTGTAAATCATTAGTGAGTAGGTCTTACAAAACAAAATACCATACCTAAGTTGAATATATGACAGCCCTAGAGAGAAAATATATCATAATATATAATCATAGCATATGTCGTATTTTTCTGTTGTATATGCTTAAGGCTTAGAACATAAAACACCAAGCTTTAACAATATTGTGTCCCAATTTAAACACACACACACATGCGGACAGTGGAGCAGGCTGAAACACTGCAGCTATAGAGCAAACATAAAACATGCTCTATTAGCATTGCAGATACTTGTATTTGTATGTGTCATCTTTTTCTGTTTCTTTATATTTTTTATTTATTTGAATCATTAAAATATGAAGGTTTTATCACAAATGATGCCACAGGTTAATAAATGAGAACAAATGGGGCCAGCCAAATGGCATAGTGGTTAAGGTATTGGAATGCACGTGGCTGACTCTGTAGTTCCAGACCTGGATCAAGTGGCTTGAAGGACATGCTGAGCGTATATGCATGCATCTTCAAAGTCCCCACAGGAGGCTTGAGGAGAAGGGATTGCATTATAGCAACTCCTCCCTGCCCCCAGGGGATTATTTCTCTTTTTTTTCTCTCTCTCTCTCTCTCTCTCTGTAGAGCAGATGTGCCCTATGGCAAAATTTAAGATAAAGGAGAAAAATGCTTTATTTGTGCTGTGAAATACTATTCTGAAGCTCTCCAGCTTATGTTCACTTATAAAGTATCTTGTCTTCTTTTGGGGTGAGTTTCTCTTTCAGTTCTTCCAGCTGAAACCTCAGTTTCTTTATTTCTGCCTCATTTTGATCCACATGGTTGTTTGCCTTGGTCAGTTCGGCCATTTTTGCCTGATATCGTCTGCTTAGTTTACTGTAGGCATGTTGGAGGTTCAACAGTTCCTACCAAGAGAAAGTGAAAATTACATATTTAATAATGCACGTTGATAAAGTCAGAAGAATGGCAAATTGTTTCAACAAAGAAAAGTATTTTGGGAAGAACTGAGGTAAGTCATCCCCTTTTTCTGAAACTCTGCATTTCTGTAACCAAATATTATGATTTGCATATAACTATGAATAAAATATGTAAATGGCTAAGATAAGGGCCAACAGATGGTGTAGCAGTTACATCACTGGACTTCCACATGACCAACTGCGGGGGCGAGTCTCGGACCTGGTAACTTAAAACTCACGTGGGCACATATCTGTGTGTGCCCAAGATCCTGGGAGGAGAATGGAAGATAAGGGATTGTAGCATATCCTCCCTAGGGGGTGATTTCTTACTTTCTGTCTCACCTTCTCTGTCTGTTCTCTCTCTCTAGCAAGCACATGCATCCTATGGAATAAAGTTTAAAAAAAAAAAAGACTAAAATATTGGCCATCTCATGGTCTGATGGTTGGAATAGAAAGAGCCCAAGTGCCATCTGTGTTTTAGTCCCTGGAGAAACACGCTGGACGTGTGTATGTGTGTGTGTGTTTCCAAAATCCTGAAAGGAAGGAGAAATGGAGGAGAATAGGAGAATGAATTGCAGTGTAACCGTGTCCCACGGGGGTGCTTTCTCCCCTCTGTCTCTCTGCCTCTTTCTGGCAAGTGCACATGTCCTCTGGCAAATTAAAAAAAAAAGGCTAAAATACAACGCATCTTTATATTGTTGAGTATATGATCCATTTTCCACCTTATGCAAAAGTAATTCTAATATATGGTTTCCAAAAAAAGGAATTATATCCACAAATGAAGAATAAGATATTCATTATAAAAATAAATGCAGAAAGAGGTATTCATCTACTAAGTCAGAATAATTGAAAGATAGCACACTATATGTTTCAAATTACTTTCTGAAGAAAACATGTTTCATATTCCTGCAGGCTTGATGTCACCTGCTACCTCTTCTGAACTTAGACGACTGTGGCTCAGGGACCTGGAGAAAGAGGCCTATCATGTGCTAAAAGAAACAGATGACTCTGTCGACCTTGAAGTGATTGGACCACCAATCAATCTTATTATAATTAGCACCATAAAAGATATGAATTAGCAGGTTACAGTAATTGGCCCCGAACTATTAACAAAGTTATTTCTCATTTTTAGTTAAAGTATAGTACAAGTTATCCAGTAGCATGGTGGACAAGGTGGCTGGATCCCACATGGCCAACTGTGCCATTCTAGTCCTTGACCTAGCATCTTGAAAAACACATGTGCATGCATGCCTAAAATCCCCAGAGGAGAATAGAGAAGAAGGGATTGTGGCATGGCCATTTCTCTTGGGAGTGATTTTTCACTTCTCTCCCTGTCTCTCTTCAGCAAGTATATATGCCTATAGTAAAATTTAAAAAATAAAAATAAAAAATTACAGTGCAAAGATATTAGCATTATCATTATAAGAAACATCTTTGTTAAAACCATAAATAAAAAATAACTCTTCAGGTCCTCCTAATGTTATAGTAATATTGTAGCAAAACCTAGGAATGTCTTTAATTTTCTTCCATACTTTTGTAGTACTTTATGTATGAAAGAGCACAAAAAAATGGCACTTGTAAAAAATGCATAAATTATCTCAGAAAAAGTAGACTAGAAATAGAATCTCTGTTACATAGGGTACCAACAGTATTCTTAATAATGAGATTGAACAAGAGATTCAGAAATGAAAAAATATAAAAGAGATAAGATATTAGAAAATATTGGAAGAAAAACTTGAAGACCTCATTTTATTTTTTAATTACCAAGTAGGGGAATGTTTTCTAAATATAATCCCAAATTGTGAAATCATTAAATGATTAATTTAATCACAATAAGTATATGACTTGTGTATAGCAAATAAGCCCTGTACAGAGCACGCTGTGGCAAGAAACAACATCTGGGGACTGGATGGTAGCACAACAGTAAAATGGAAGGCTCTGCAAGGCAGACCCACATGGGAAGGTTGGTAGTTCAAGTCCAGAGACTTCACTCAGTACATGGGGTACACATATGCCTATAATCTGATAGAAGCCAGGTGTGAACTGTGGCATCAGGACCCTTCACTAATGTTGTAGCTCTCTATCTCTCTGTCTCTCTCACTCACTCATGGAGCAAAAATTCTTTAAATTAAAAGAAAGAAAGAGAGAGAGAAATCTCCTATGCAGTCATATCAAGTCAATATAAACTGACTCGATATAAAATATGGAAGGACAGAGTTCACAGGAAAGAAAATAAGAGTATCTCATAAAATTAAGATATTTAGCTTCACTCAGAATATGGGGAAAATTATTTCATGTATAACTTTTTGGAGAAGGGGTTAGTGGTTACCAGGGATTAAGAACAGGAGAGGAGAGTCAGAGAGCTAGGGGTGGATCTAAAAGGACATCGGGGTCCTTTGCTGAGATGGCAACTTTGATCTTGCCTGTAGGAAGGCCAGGATCCTGCGCATGCTCTTCACCATCGCTTTGGAAATGATACCACTGGAGGAACTGGGCTTAGGGCAGAGAGACTCTGTGTTATTTCTGACAACTGTATGTGCATTTGTACGCAGTAATACATTTTATTACATATTTTATTTGTAAGAATAAATAACTACACTTGGAAATTACAATTCTCAAATAAAAAATTAATTAAAAACACATTAAGATATAATTTCTCATGTTTTCAGGCATTTAGCAAGGGTTAAATGTATTCAAAGGATCTACTAGTAAAATGTACAGAAACAGGGATTCATTCGTGGAAAAACATCAGCAAGATTCGTTGAAATAAAAAATGTACATACACTCTGACCGTCACCCTAGTTCCAGGAATGTATACTGCAGATATACCCAGTGTTGTGTGAAATGCTGTGTGTGTAAGGATATTTATTGAGCACAAATTTTTGTTGTTGCTGTTAACAATAAATGTCTGGAAACTAAATTGCCATAAGGGGCTGATTAAATTTAAAACCCATTAAACTGCTAAATATGACATAAGAGCCTGTTGTATACTGACATGGAGATATCTTCACAATATTCTGTTAAAAGAAGCAAAAGACAATACAGTGTGAAGACTATGGCGTTACAGGAAATAAAGCTGATACAAAGTGACTTTTCATATGACACTTTGGTAACTGGCAGGCTCCTGGCCTCTGTGAACCCCAGGGCTCCAATCCGAACAGGTGGAAGTCCCGAATGCAAACCACAGGGCAGAACCTGGTGCAGAAGTTGTTGTCACAACCCTCAGGGAGCTAGAAGGCAGAGGTGGAAGAGGAGGCCCCCATACCTGTCAGCCGCCCCCTCCCCCTCAGCAGCTAAAGAGTGTTTGCCTCCAAGCATCCACTGACAGTGTGGGTGTCAAATAATGGGGAGAGTCTTAGCATCAGTGCTGCTGCCCTGCACATTCTGCGTACCCCCTCCATGAGAGTCAGAATCACACTATTGAAATTACACCTGCATAGAGTTAGCAAGCAGTGGAGAACTGACAGCTTCGTACTGAACCGCAGGACCATGGCATTCAACAAGGTGGCTGGGCAGACTAGCATGGTCACTTCAGTGTGTGGCAACTTGGAAGTGTTTTGCTGAGTTACATCACAAATTATATTTGAAATGTAAACAGATTTCTCATTTCTTCTCTTCAGAATGCAATTTTCAAACGTCAGGTTATAGTTATATACCTTGGCCTTTTACAAAGAAACGCAAAATAGGAAACACAATTCTTTTATTTGGAATGACAGTGAAATATTTAAAGAAAGTTCATCTTTCTTCATGTCAAACATAAAATAAAGAATTTGCTGCAAAAATAGTATGGAGTGTAATGAAAGAGTTATGGCAAACTTGCAAGAGGACGTCTTTTCCTCAGAAATTATGCCTCCCTAGTAACAACTACTTAAATACCTTTGTGATTTAGCACAATTATTTTTCAGTCAATGCCTTGTCATTAAGGCTTGTAAAATGTATGCAGACTAATTTAAAAGAAATAAAGTAAACAAGACTATGAGGTATGCATTAAGAAAGAAAAAGGAAGTGGAAAAAGAAAAGAAAGGAGAGAGGGAGGGAAGAAGGATAAAAGCGAGGGTAGAATAGGGGAGATGGAAGGAGAGAGGAAGGGTGGAAACCACTGCTTCCCAACACAATTTGCACCACAACCATGTGACATCCATACAAGCCGGTCCCTAGCATTCATACTCTGCTGCCTGACCATTTGCTAAGAGAACTTAGTTTGAACTTAGTCTCAGACCTAAAAAATGGATATGCAGTAGTCCAAGTTTATTTTAAAAATAAATTCAAAATGTTGCTCTGAATGCGTGGTACCTAAGACAACACCCAACTTGGGAACTTTATGTAAAACCTACTGAATCTGAGACTCTGGAGCTGGAGCTCAGCAATTCTCTCTTCAACAACTCTGAGTCTTCTTTATTCAGTGTAAAGTTTGAGAACCACTGGAATAGGTCAATTTTAGTAAACCTTAGTCAGCAGAGTAGAAGCAATATAATTGAGCAATAGGGCATGAAGGGATTTCTTGCATGGGAAATGTTCTAAAATTTTTTGACACTTGAAAATATCCAAGGAAAGGCCAAACTCTGTGGCCTGGGAGATAAGGTAGCTGATCCCACACAGCTGATCAGTGACTTGAGAAACACACCGGGCATATGTGCATGCATGCCCAAAATCCCAAAAGGAGGGAGAAATGGAGGAGAAGGGATTGTGACGTGACCATGCCCTGAGGAGGGTGTTTTCTGATCTCCCTCTCTCTTGTCTCTCTCTGGAGAGCACACACACCTGCTAGCAAGACATAAATACTAACAAAAATATGCATGAAGATACACATGTAGAGTTACCACAGCAACCTGGGCACACAGGGAAATCTTACAGCTGAGATTGGCAGATCTGGCCTGTGTTGGCTTTTTGTTATGTGAGAAAATACATCCAACTTTATCTAGAGCCTTATTCATAGCCAAACATATCCT